AATTAGTAGTATAATTGTTATTACAAGAATATATCAACTAGAATTTTTGATGTTGAATTTCTACCTATTTTCTAAAAATAAATAATTAATAATAGATAAAATATGGTCACGTAACAATTCTTTCTGAATGTACACCACCAGATCCAAAAAAAGTGATTAATAATTAGTAGTATAATTGTTATTACAAGAATATATCAACTAGAATTTTTGATGTTGAATTTCTACCTATTTTCTAAAATAATTAAAATAATAATAGATAAAATATGGTTACGTAACAATTCTTTCTGATCGTACACCACCAGATCTAAAAAAGGTGATTAATAACTATAATCAGTAGAATATATTAACTAGAATTTTTGATGTTGAATTTCTACTTATTTTCTAAAAATAAATAATTAATAATAGATAAATATGGCCGCGTAACAATGCTTTCTGATCGTACACCACCAGATCCAAAAAAAGTGATTAATAATTATAATTAGTAGTATAATTGTTATTACAAGAATATATCAGCTAGAATTTTTGATGTTGAATTTTCTACCTATCTTCTAAAAATAATTAAAATAATAATAGATAAAATATGGCCACGTAACAATTCTTTCTGATCTTTACACCACCAGATCTAAAAAGTGATTAATAATTAGTGTATAATTGTTATTACAAGAATATATCAACTAGAAATTTTGACGTTGAATTTTCTAAGAATAAATAATTCATAATAGATAAAATATGGTCACATAACAATTCTTTCTGGTTGTATACCACCAGATCTAAAAAAAGTGATTAATAACTAGTAGTATAATTGTTCTTACAAGAATATATCAACTAGAAATTTTGATGTTGAATTTTCTACCTATTTTTTAAAAATAAATAATTCATAATAGATAAGATATGGTCACGTAACAATGCTTTCTGATTGTACACCACCAGATGATTAATAATTATAATTAGTAGTATAATTGTTATTACAAGAATATACCAATAAAGCTCCGAACGAATCAACAAAATTCGAACCGAAACGAAACGAAACGAATTGCCTAATTTTTGATTCGAATCGAATTAAATCAAATTCAAATTATACCCTGATTCGATTCAATTTGATTTGAACTGATTCGAATATATAATTCAATTCGAACTGATTCAACTCAACTCGATTCAAACTAGTGATGGTGGCCGAAACTACGCTTAGTGGGCCGAAATTGCCGAAATTAATTGGCCTAAACTTTGACGAAACTAACTTTAATGGCTGAAATTGTGAGTTTTTAAAATAAAGTAGATTGATTTAGATACTTATTATATGTATTGGACAAAATTACCTTTTTTTCAAAAACAGTTTCGGCTACCATCACTAAATAATATCCTTTATCAATTAAAAAATCACAATCTTGGTTTAGCAGATAGTTTGGGTTTAGAAATTTTTTTCCAAAAATCCGTTATTATTATATTCCAACCTTGTCACAGCGGACTATAATAATAATAATAATAATAATTAAATTCTTATCATAACGGATTTTTAAAATTTTTGCTTCACATAAAAAAAACATATAAAAATTTTCTTATTGTTATTATTATTATTATGTACCTATCCGTTGTGACTATATCAATAAATCCGTTATATTTGGAAGAATTTTATTATTATTATTATTATTATTATTATTATTATTATTATTATTAAACCTCAATTTGTTATTATCCATTAAATTGAGGCACACTACATTAATATTCACTGTATTTAATATGACATTAAGAAAAATTCAGGAATCCGATTTGATCCGAATCGAATTGACTGCAGAACGAAACGAAACGAATCAAATCACTCTAAAATTCGATTCGATTCAGAGCCTTATATATTAACTAGAATTTTTTATGTTGATTTTCTACCTGTTTTCTAAAAATAATAAAATATAGCTGCGTAACAATTCTTCTGATTGTACAACACCAGATCTTACAAGAATATATCATAATTAATAATAAATAAAATATAGTCACATAGGTCACATAACAATTCTTCCTGATTTCGTTCAACCATTAACCTTTGGAAAAAGAAAAACCTTTTAATTTAATTATTACATTCCTAAATATACATATAAAATATTAATATAAAAATAGGTACAAAAGTCAAAAAACATGTTACTATTAATTGGGTCCATAAAACTGTTTTTTTAACCAATACTAGATGGGATCTACAAAGCTTGGAAAGCAAGATTTGTAAAATATATTTGATGAATGCTCTATCTAGTTGTATGATAGGCAGTGTTGTGTTCAGAAACTCTTTTGGCTTCCCGAAACGTTTCGGAAAATGAACTTACACTAAGCAGAAAACTAAAACTAAAACTAAACATAAACATAAACCACTAACCTAAACTAGTTTCAGGTGGTTTCTGTTAGTTTCTGTTTCGGGTTTTTCCTAAACTCAGAGTTTCGGGTCACAACACTGATGATAGGCGGGTTCGATTATTTGAAAATGCCATATAAGTATTTAAAAACGAAATAGTTCTTTACCTATTACCGTATATTTTTGCATCTTGCTAAGTACTTGATTGAATTGAGTGGTCTTAGATTTAAAAGAAAGCCTAACTTCTATTGCACATAATATTCAAAACTTATTTATAGTTAATATTTAGTATATTGATTTAAATCACAATTCGTTGACGCATTTTAGTAATAATATTAAATATCTCTTTGTATTTATCTTCTCCTTTTTGACAATTGGTATGTTATTGTAGCTTGCTCATATTATTTTAATCGTTATTATTTATGTAGGAATAAAATGTAAAAGAAACATTTTAAACTGTATAAATATTATAAATATTCATAGCAATATAATTATTTACATTTATACTTGTGTCAAAAAATTTTACTATGATGCAGATCAATTTCATTATTTTGCAACCTGCGGGAAATGTCACGCGCCTAGTACTATATAGATAATAATAATAATAATAATAATAATAATAATAATAATGTAGTTCCGTGTGATTTCCGTATTAGTATATTAGTATTAATGTTTAATCAAGTTTATAGTTAACAAATAAAATGTTTTGTAAAAAAAAATGCACATTTTTATTTGCGAGTTTATCAGTTACTTGATAATATTTCAGAGCTATAAAATCTTATTCTCACATTCTGTTTTAATTCCACATTTACAGATGTCCTTATATTAATATAAATGACATCACGGAAAAACCCGGATTGCTTACTCAACTGATTGCTTGCTTTTATGAAATAAACTGAACATTTACGGAGTGATAAACATGATCACGGAGATATAATGAAAATATTCTGGAGTGGCATTTTTTACAGGGTAAATTCTTCAATTAAGACAAATGATAGATAATTTAAATTATTTGAAGTTGTTACGATCTTTGTTTTCTATCTTGATATGCACATGCATTAATTAATAAACAGCTATTACAAATAATGCGTTTGTGATTTTTGTTTTGAACGCCTAAAGTATTTGTACTTATTATATATAACAGGGAATTGATGTGTATATAAAGTATTTTTTTACAAACAAATAGCTCTTTAAATATAAATTTCTGTTATTATTTCGAAGAATGTACTTTGTTTACGCGAATCGTTTCTATACTCCGTAGAAAGTTATCAGACATATGTCATAATAGGTTTTGTTAGCGAAAAATTTTGTAAACATACATATATATATTTAATTAGGATTCCGAAATATATATGTAGAGGTAAGGCGACTTTGGTTAATACGCAAAGTTAGTACATCAGATAATCAGCAATTAATATTTGATAATCATGTGATTTTAGGCTAACCCAGTTTTCAACGTAATAATCTGCGCCAATGAAGATATGTTGTAAAACTTTGCATAGTATATAATACGTAATTTATCAGAATTGATGTTATCAAACAACATAGTAAAAATGCAGCTTTTAAAGAGAGGAACCTTTCAACGCCAAGAAACCCCTAAACTTACGGTTTCTGGAGAGAACCTAAACCCCAAACTTCTACCTAACTAAGAGTTTCAGGTCACATCATTCTAGAGGACCAATTGATTGGGATTCGGATATGCTCCACATATCAGCGGATTCTAACGCCACCCTTAATTTATTTATGAGTGTTGATTTTTTTTTAAAAAATGATATTTTTTTTTGAAAATAGTTTAATAACCTTTTTTGAAGAAAAGTTTGAGGTTATAATAGACAAAAGTTTCGTTGCAAGAACTTAAAATATGCTTTTGGTGAAGTAGGACCCCAGACAACCATAATTGAGTCATATGCTCTATGCTAGAAAATTTATTTTCGTCATCCTGGATCCACTTTAAAAGTTATAAGCATGAAATTTTGTCAGGATAGGTGGTTCCATATTATCTGTTAATTAAAAAATGAGATTTGATGATGTTACTTATGTCAGGGTAGAAATTGACCAAAAATTTTCCCTGTCACTATTACACAACTGATCTATATGGCTTTATTGTAAAAATTATTTCTTTAAATTAAATTCCTTTATCTAATAACTTCAATAAAAAACATCATCTATTACTATGTATAACAACAAATTCTTTATCCCACCAACCAATTTTTAATATCATTTATAACTTTTTATGATATCTACTTTTTAAACCCCTGTTCTTCCATTTATTACTTTTACAAAAGTTTCTAATTATGTTGGAAAAAGAATACTTATAACAATAATTCCTTAGTATGAATACTATCAACTATCTTTTCTTATATAAATTCAGGGTGCTTCGATCAAAATAACGTTTTCCAAATCTAATCCTTTCTGTAAGCTCTAAATATGAAAACCGTCCATGGTATGTGTCTTTCTTACTATAATTTATCGTCAAGGATGTCTTTAATATACATTAAAGCCATCAAATTGAGTATATGTTAAAAAAGCCTTTTTATCTTGAAAATGAAAACGTCTATTTTCTTTCCACACACATTTACTAATACCATCACCAAATAGATTAATTTAACATCAAGATTTTCACTATTCTCAAGCATGTCGAGGAAAAATTTAAAATATCAATATCTGATAAAATAGAAAATATAATAAGAAACATTGTAATTAAAATCATTAATGCCTGACTCAATTATTACCAATCAACGACAGACAGCCATTGAAATAATGCCATAATTACTTCTTCAAATATGGCCTCGTCGTATTTTCATTTTTCGCTGTTACATTGCGATTACTTAGTCATGCCTTCTCGTTTTATTTTAGTGATGATGACGATGATGATGGTGGTGTCTCTCACTTTTATTGCCTAGTCTGTGGGTCCTTTTTCATGAATTCCATATTGTGAATAAACCGATATAGTCCCATAGAATGCCTTTGATTGCTAAAATAAATTCGCAACGAGTGGCTTTCTTAGAATGAATCAGTGATTAGTGGTGATTCCTTATGCATTCTCTATGAATTGTACAGGACGGAAAATTGTGCTAACCAATGAAAACATACTAATAATTTCTAACGTCTTCAAGTAATTCTTGGTTTCTCTTATAATTATGCTGCGTCATATTGGCCAATTTTGGGAGCATTCCAAAAATGGTCTTTGTGGCATGATCTAATCAAGATCTCGCGGTTGGTTAATCTGAGAAAATCTCTAATAAAGTTCTATACTTTTTTAAAGATCAAAAAAAAATTTTTACGAAGTGGTTCAAGAGGCTCCGCATCATACATAATAAATTTATTTTTTTATTTATAAATTAATGTATTAGAGGAAAAAAAATGGCAATTGTATCAAAATTGTCTTCAGAAGGACGGGATCTGTTAGCAGTCGGGAAACTGTTTCCGCCTAATAATCCTAAACTCGATCGACTTGTAACATTTCTTAAAACCGTTCCTGGCACTGACAAAGCTTTAATGGTAATGCTTTTTTTAAGTTAGAAATTATTTGAATGAGAATTCATTATAATTGCTGCTATAATTAACAAATTACGTATATTTATACATACACACATACGCATCATAACCATCAAAAACAATGATAATGAGTTAGTTTATACAATACTTTTCAAAAATTTTAATTTGGTTTTTCACGCGTATTGGAAAAAAATCATTGGCTCAACGAATCTACAATTTGTATAGTCCAATAGCAGATTTTAGGATACTTCTTCGGTAAGTGATTACTGCACATTTATTAATTATATAATTTGCTATTTATAATATTATTTATTTAAACATTTTTATTTTTATTCTTATATATTATAGTTATTATGGACTTCTTCCATTAATTCAATGGATGATCAGCATAGAGAATGATGAATCGTTAACTTACTCGTCGCCCCTGCTACTAAATCTACGACGTTTACAAAACATTCTAATGTTATTATATTATCCACTTGAACACACTTGGTGGTTGTCGTTTCACAAAATTATTCCAATTCCGGAAGATTTAATGAACAAGATTGGTGTTTGGAGTTGTAGATTCTGGGCAATTTATGTCCTGGTACAATTCTCCTGTTCTTATTTGGAGTGGAAGATTGTTAAACGAAAGAAATTGGAGTTGATAAAATCGATTGATTTCGACGAGAAAGATGCTAATAGTAAAATAAGATTAAGAAAAGATCATGAAAGAATCGTTAGAGAAGTTTTCACTAATATTGGATATTTCCCTTTGACTGTAAGTAAATTGAATAATGATTATTATTATTATTATTGTTGCTATGGTGGTGGCGGAGTAATAATGACAATAACAATTTATAATCATATTTCTATATTTTAATATATATCTCACTCACTATTTATCTATCTATTAATAGTTACATTGGTCAATTCCAAACTCAATATTTCCAGAAATTGGAGAAGGAATATTTGGTACTATTGCAGCATATTATGAATTATCGGGTGCTTGGAAATCTCATAGTTAATTAAATCTATTATATATTTTATATATTTTCAAATCGCAATATACACATACATATACATTTTATTATAAAGCTTTGTTAATTCTAAAATACAATGGTTTATTTTTTTAATTAAATTTCAATTAGTTAATTTAATTAATTAATTAATTCTAATTTATTTATTCATTCATTTATTTATTTTATTTTATTTATTTATTTATTTATTATTTATTTATTTATTAAATTCTCACTTGACAAGGCGGTTATTCTTTGTAAAGCAAAATCTGCTTCCTTTATACCTTCTGTAAAATTGATTTTTTTGGCAAATGAAAGTGCCTTTTCATAATATTCAGTTGCTTTAGTTATATCACCTGACAACTATACAATAATAACAATAATAATATATTAGTAATATGAATATAAATATGAATATAAATACAATATTCATAATATAAATACCTCCAAAATCATTCCCAAATTAAATAATAAAACATCGCAAGTTTCATCACATTCCCTTGTCCCTTTTTTATTTTGTTGGAAATTTTCTGTCAATTTTAATCCTCGTTCAGCCCATCCTTGTGCCTCCTTCAGTTCACCCATGCCTGTAAACACCTTGGATATGTTATTCATTAAAACAGCTGAATGACACGACGATTCCGGTGGGTGTATCAACGATAATGATCGAAGATAAAGTGGGAGTGCATATCTACATAAAAAACGTGTGATTAATAAATGAAATGAATGAATGGAATGAACGTGCAATCATGCACATACATATCATTATTATTAATTTACTTACGAATAGTTACGTCTTGAAGAATAAAATGAAGCCAATGCTTCAAGTGATGCACCTAAATCTGTAGATGTCATCCATGATGGCAATGGATCTACATCAAGTTTTTTTTTAAATAAACCCCCACTACCAACATTAGATGAAGTAGCAGTGTTATTGCTACCATTGACATTACTATTATTCATTCCAATACTCCCACTCCCAACACCCTCGCCATTACTACCGCCACCATTATTTAAGTTATGATCAAATTGATTGGCTGCTTGTAGTAATTGTTCAACAGACCATACATAATAATGTTCAGCTTTATCATCTTGTTTCAACGTTTCGTGTAAATCACCGAGTTTTTGTGCTAAAGCAATCAATCTAATTCTATCATCATCCTTTAATTTCTCATTTCCACCAATATTGTTATTATTATTGCTATCGGTATCCATCATAGTCGTCGTCGCTATTGAATCATAAGCCATCGTGTAAACATCAACTGCATCACGCATTCTTCCAATTTCTTCATATAATCCAGCCAACAGAATCATAATTCCAGTAACTTCCGGCGACGAATTATCCAAACTTTCATCATTATATGCCTGATTCAAAGCAGTCTGGTAGTAGTTGACTGCTTTGTTTGGATCATTCTGGTAGTTCTGGTAATACAAACCTTTCTTTAGGTTGTTTCTGATTTCTGGTGGATATTTGTGAACATTAGAAGTGAAGTATTGATAAAAGCCAAGACCCGTTAATGCTGTTGCTGCAATAATCAATGCTATAGGAAGTAAAGGTATTGCTATAATAGTTTTAGTATTGATGTTATTATCATTGGTGTTGTTGTTGTTTGAAGAAGTGGAAGAAGTAGCAGCAGTGGAAGATTTTTGTGTAAAGAAATCTATATTTTTCAGTGATCTATTATTATTAACTTTATCAGCAGTGTTCTTGTTTTCACCATTAATAGTTGACTCTATTCCAGATGTGGTTTTTTTTTCAAGGATCTTACCTTTGTTGATTACATCGTTTGAAGATGATGGGTTTTGAGCGTTAGTATTATTAGTGTTCTCAGTAGTATAATATTTCTTATTTATTTTATAATTTAATAATTTTGAATGAGTAATTGGTGTTGTTGTAGCAGCAACAGCAGTTGAATTCCTTCGTTGATTATTAATCAGTAAAGAACGAGAAATCTTTTTAATTGATATTATCGAACATTTTGATGATTTAATTTGCATACTTTTGGTTATTTGGAACGCCATTTTGAAGAAGAACTAAATAATTAAATAAATTAAATAAATGAGCTATTGATACTTATAAAATCAATTATTGATTTTTTTTTTTTTAATGCATAATAAACAGATCTGATTATAATTTTCCCAATTCGAGTCAATATATCATTACCTCGAAAAAAAAGTATAAAATTGGTCAAAGTGATGATAAATAAGGAAATCAATAATAATAACAATGTAACAATGCCAGAATCTTCTATGACAGTAAATGTTTATCAAAGAATGAATTGATTATTCTAGTACTGGTCTTCAGCCACTGGCTTAGGTAATTACCACAACCAAAGATTATTTTATATATAATAATTAATTCTTTTATAGTTTAGAGATTGGACCCAGGTTGGGTCCAACCGGGTCACCCGCGGGTGACCCGGTTAGCCAGGTTATGAAAATTACCACCAGGTGGAGAAAAATGAATGTAACACAATAGGACACCTGATTTACAATTCAATTTTTTTTACATTTCATATGTATTATCAACATTTTTAATATGGATTATCCAATATCTTATAAATAATGATTTTATCAACAATATCGTTAGAGTTGTCTTGTTACATATTAATATTTTAATGTTTTTGAAAAAGAACATTGAATGTGAATTTCCATATAATATATACCACAATGATGTTTAACATTATGTCTGATTTATAATTCAAAAATAAAATTATTTTTTTATCATTTATGTAAATTAAACCCATATATAGAATGATCTGTTCACTACGTCGGATAAACCCGCGGGTCACCCAAGTGAAGTTTTTTTAGACGGGTCCAATCTCTAGTTTATTTTATTTGAATAAAATGATATCTAAATCCATGTTAACCCATTTTTGGATACACATTTAATTTGGTATTATCAGGATTAATGAAAAGTATCTAGGCTTGTTATGGAGCATCAATATGTTGACGTTGTGGTGACAACAGTTGATGACATCAATCATATTGGAAATTCAGTGGTGCCTAATGATAATTATTGTAAATTGAGGATTGGGTAACCATTATCTGGATAAATTAATTAAGAATAAAGGAGTAAAAAAATAAACTTTTTGGCTTGAATTTTTTCTTAATATTATATTATTAATTAACCAGGTGTGTATTCTAACATTATGTTTCTATTTCCAGAAAAAATAATATGTATTGTTTCAAAGGGGCAATGTCCAAAGAAGAATTAAAAACATGCACAACATTCCCTTTGTTCTGTGGGATATTTGCAAAGAATACTCATATCAAAGATTCTTGGTAAGCTATTGTATGTATTTGATTCATTCTATATGACACTGAATGTTACTCTTTCACATGTTGGGGGGAAATACAGTCCTTTGCTAGCCAATCTCAGAAATCAAAACAAGAGTCCTTTTAAAAGAGTTTGTATTGGTTGGTGTGTAGACATGAAGGTATTATTATTGATGACCCCAATTAAGTTTGAAATAGTTTATGGAGAGGTATCTGGTGGATTGAATTCTTTTGGAACCCCATCTGCTTGTTATAAAAAACAATATCTTGATAAATTGGAATTGATGGTGTTGATTAAGGTTTCTGGCTGAAACTGCTTCTATTAGTAGCCAAAATTGCCCAAATACTTTGGGCAAAAATTATTTTTTTATACCGTAAAGTCTGGAAAGATAGCATCCCCTTTTTACATATGTGTAACATTTTTTTATATTGACGCTCAATTGTTTTAAAGTAGGGGGTGCTATCTTTCCAGACTTTACGGTAATTCCTTTTGTTCGTTTATTATAAATGATTATCATGTTAATATGATCAGATATTTATGGTATATAAAAGTTGCAAGGGATTGGCGTTAAAAAGTTGGACGGGAAATCAATAATTAATTTTCCTTTATGAACTTTTGTTAGATAATTGTTCACAAAACATTGATTTTATTAGTTAGTTACAATAAAGTATATAATTATATTTTTTAACTGAACTTACTTTTTATAATGTGGGCCGCCGATAATGCATGAGTCTTCTAGCAAAAAAGAGGTATAATAAACTTTTTCGATTGATGATCTCTGAAAAATATGTTTTTGATATATAAATATTTCAAGAATTATTATAGTGAGTCAAGAGGATCTGAAATTTTCTGAAGGAAAAAATACCTTTAAACTTCATCTGAATAAGGTAGTATCATCTCGTGTTCAAAAAGCAATAGAAGTTGTTTACGAAATTAACCCATATATAAATAACCAATTTTAATGGGAGAAATATTTATACCCCTGCATTAGTATATAGAGATGTCACGCAAAATTGTGTATGAATGGTCTTTCTTTTTGGTCATAACAATGAATCAAACATGAAAAAGAGTTCATGTAATGGATATAATAAGATTTTTGGGAAAAATTTTGTTATTATTTTATAGATTTTTATCTGAGGAAAAAATTTTTTTACTGTTTTTTTATTATAAGGAAATAAATTTAAAGCTACTACTATGCAACTGTAATTATGGAATGTAAAAGTTTTTTTTAATATTTTTTATTTTAACTCTAGGATAAAAATGTAAATTTACTTAGATTTAATAAAAGAAATTTTATAGTTATCGAAAATATATTAATATTCAATTGAGTTAAAGAAGATTTCATAATAATAAAGTTGAAGGAAAATTTTGTCAACTGGTTAATTATATAATGTGTAACGAAAATAATGCACAAAATTATTTTGCATAACAAACAATGTGCTGTTTATTGCTCGCATATCTCCACCAGCTTATTTATTTCTCATTGAAGTCATTAATAAAATAAAAGGCTTCATCTACTTCTATTTTCTATCTCTAGCATCTTATAAGCACATGTCACGGAAAAATTTTGATATAACTTCAAAATGTTTCACGTTATTTACATCACTGCCTGACAATAGTTCATTCATCAAGGAAAAATGCATCAGGAAGTGAATACCCACTTTCATACCGTTGAACACAATTTCAAAATGCCTAAAGAGAGAGTACTATTGAACATAAGCAGGTTAAT